ATAAATAAAATCTTAAAAAAAAAAAAAAGAGCTAATTATCATAATAAAAATGACTCTCGGTGATAAACGGAACTGAACCCGTGGGAGAACTGGCACTTCTGAAGCCCAGGCTTGGAAAGTTCTGTGACCTGCCTGGTGACTGCCCACGGACTACTGGCTCTTCTCCTACCCCTACACTAAGGAAGTGGTGCTTTGGTGTTTGGTCTCTGAATTTACCTAAGATCTACATAAAATACCATCCACACTTCGTTAGGGTTTGAGGAATTTCATACACCAGCATGCTACATACACCAGTGTGGCCACCACCCAAACAAAATACAGGAAGTTTCCATCCCCTCAGAGCAGGTCCCTCAGGCCCTTTCCAATCAATCTCCTTACCCCAAGAGGCAATGCCTGACTGACTTCAATCAGCATTGATCACTTTTCCCCAAGCCCACCCCTTTTTGGCTGGAGAGTGGGTGACCAGAGGGACAGTATCTTGGAGGCTGGTCTGCGTGACATCACTTTACAGGCTAGCGAGACCTCAGCCGTACAGAGAAGAGGGCAGCGTGACCATCACATTCACCAATGATATCTTATAAAAATGCTAGAGAGCATTAATGCTAATTATCTGGAACAATAATCAGAACATTATAAACATGAATAAAGTCCCACCCACCTATCAGGTACACACAGAACACCAGAACGCATCTTAATGGTCTATAACCAATATTCTTCTTTCTCACGAAAATACACTCACCTGGCTGTTTGGATCTCCAAGTAAATTACATATATGTGGCACAATCTTGCTTAGTGTTAAAGTATGTGCTCCAGAGCTGAAAACAAAAGGAGTGTTTTACTGTTGGTGAGAACAAAGAAAAGAAACAGCCCTCCCTCCCTCTCCATCCCTAGGGCCTTATCGCCCCCTCACACCTCGACTCCCCTTCCTTCCCATCTTCCCCATCTTCTGCCCACCTGGTTCCAAAATAAGCACGCCACAAAGGCCCCATCCCTCTGCACAGAGTTCGAAACCTTCCATGCTGCTCACTGACGTGCCTCCTCCCCGGCACTCGGGGCTCTCTCCGTTCTGGCTCCCAACCTGCAATGCCAAGCCAAGGCCCCAGCCTTTCCCACAGTCTTGCCTGCCTCACATACGGATGCCCCTGCATTATTATCATTCTGTCATAAAGCAGTTCCTATTTTGCCCAACTCCGTGTTCTCAACTAAACCGCCATTCCCTTGAGGGTCCTCCTCGCTTAATTCTCCACCTGTGCACAGCTAGTGCTCAGTTAACGACTGCTCAGTGGGAAGACCCTGACACAGTGGCCACAGAGGGTTCCAGCTAAACCCTGCCCTGCTGGACAGCACGGAAGTCACTGATCACTTTTCGCTGTCAAAAACACTAGCACAAATAGCCCTTGTGAATACAACTCTCTCTGCTAATCTGACGACTTCCTTAGGATACATTCTTAGAAGTGAAACCACTGTGATCAAAAACTAGAAACATTTTTAAGAAGATGCAAACTTGGGCAAATTTAATGGTACTGAAAAGGCTAACATATCGAGCGGAAAATTTTACAAGGTGACATAAACCTTACTATCCCAATTTTGTTTTTGAAAATAATATAACTTTACAGGTTGGACTAAAAATGCACTACAAGTTAACCATGATTGTGTGAAGGTGGTAGAAATATACCGAATCATTATTTTCTTCCTGGTGTAAATTTTCTGACATATACAGTATCACTTTTATAATCAGAGAAGGTGACTTGTAATTTTTCTATTTTAAAAACACCTCTCCTACAAATAAGCATGTGAAGAAATATTCAACATCAACAGTCATTAGGAAAATACAAATTAAGACCACAAAGAGATACCACTACGCACCCATCGAAATGGCTAAAATAAAAAACAGAACACTCAGTGTGCTGACAAGAATATGCAAAAACGGAATCATACCTCACTGGTGGGAATGTAAAACAGTACAGACGACTCTGGAAAATGGCTTGGCAGTTGCTTTAAGCTTAAACCTACCAGATGACCGAGCAGTGGCACTCCTGGGCACCAACCCAAGAGAAATGCAAGCTTACGCTGCTGCAGGAACAGGTACATATGCGTTCACAGCAGCTTTACTTGTAACAGCCAGAAACCAGAAACTATTGAAACATCCTGTAACAGGTGAATGGTGACACAAACAGATCCATCTGTACCATGGAATTCTACTCGGCAAGAAGAAGAAATGAAGCATTGTTCAGGCAACCCCACATATGCAACCTCAAAGGAATGATGCTGAGGGAAAGAAGTCAATCTCAAAGGGTCACACTGTTTGATTCCGTTTATATAAAGTTCTTGAAATAAAATCATAGAGATGGTGAGCAATCAGTGGTTGTGGGGGGCCGGGAGGGGGGGTAGCAAGAGGGAACCTGGCCGCGCTGCCCAGGTCTGTACCTCGCTGGTGGTGGGGGTTCCCTGGAGCTACACGCATGACAGAACGGGGCAGAAGTGCACACCCAATGCATGTGTGTCACCACAGGAACCCGAATAAGCCCTGTGCATTGCATCAGTATCGCTCTCCTGCCGCTTGCACTATAGACACGCAAGATGTAAAGAGTGAAGGACCATCTAGCACAGCACTTCCCAGGACATTTCTCTGCAGCTTCCAGAAATCCATAGCCACTTCGAAACACAAAATCACAAATAAAAATGCTCGGCCAAGGAAACCCTCGGGCTCTGCCCAGACTTACGCATTGAGTGTGGCAACAAGGCAGAGGCACGTGCCTTCCCGAGTCCGGAAATTCTTGTGCTTGAAGCCTCCCAGCATTCGGTCCCACACATACTGTAGGTGACAAGAGGACAGGTGAGAAGAGGAGGAGCCTTTCATTTAATACAGAAGAGGGACCTCTCAACAGGTGCCAAGTCAGCCCCAGCCTCAACCAATCCATTTCGCCCTCTCAAGGGCGTACTGAAAAATGGCAACTTGTATTTCTGTTATCAAGTTAGAGTTTTTCCAAACACATTCCTTTACAGAATTGCATTTCATTATGCCAACAGCTCTGAAAGAAAGGTATACCTGTCCCCATTTCATGGGTGAGGAAAGTAAGGCCAAGCGAGGCTTGGGTGACTTGCCAGAGGGCACATACCCCTACTGCTCCTCTGGTCTGGAACAGCTGTCCCCACCTTATCCACAAGTCACACATCGGCTCCTCTTTTAAGACATTCTGGGTTTTACCTTCCCTGAATGGCTTCTTCTGATCCCTCCACCACCCCACCCCCATACGTTACACGGGTGGAGCCTGGGAGGCAGGGCTGTGTCCCTATGTCCATCTGTCCCAGCAGACCCAACTCACTAGCAGACAGGAATGAGGGCTCCAGCCAGGCCTCCTGACTCCCCAGACACAACCACCTCTTTTCATAGAAACTGAGACAATTACACAAACGAGCTCAAGAGTCTAATGGATTCAACCAAGCACACAATACCCATGTTAAGCCCACTATTTTAGTCAAAGTATACCCTTTGCTATTTCTTTTTAAAACATCCTATATGGGGGTGGGGGGGAGAGGTGAGCAGGGACGAATTAAATATTATGAAAATTTTCATGTGAAACACATCAGCTAAAAGAAATTAAATGTTGGGACACTTGGGTGGTTCAGTCGGTGAAAGCATCCTACTCTTGATTTTGACTCAGGTGAGCTCAAGCCCCTAGATGGGCTCAGCGCTGGGCGTGGAGCCTGCTTAAGATTCTCTCTCCTTGTCCCTCTCCCCCTCCCACTCGCGCACACTCTCTCCCTAAAATAAAAAAATATATAAATAAATAAATAAAAAAGTAAATAAAAATAAAAGAAATTCAATCTCCCCCCCCCCAGAGAGAGAGCATGCACGTGCTGGGAGAGGGAGAGAGAAAATCTCAAGCAGACTCCCCACTGAGTGCAGAGCCCAATGCGAGCCAGAAGCACATGCCAGAGGGCCGTGGAACACCTCCCTGCCCTACCTGGGGATTAGCAGCTTGATCCATGATCTTCAGCAGCAGAGTCTGGTCTTGCTCTCGCACAGAGTCTTTAGCGTCTCCCAGTCTGTCTATTAAACTGGGCAGCACTGAAAATCAAAATGCAAACTGATCAAACAAAAGCCTGTTTTGGGGGGTCTGCAGTCACCAACTGGGTATTTCAATTACTGGGAAGACAAAATGCTGGCCTAAATGATGTACACCACTCTAGAACCACCAATCCTCACAGTTCTACTCTCCTCACTAAAATTTATAGGAGCTTACTCTAAGAATGTGCAAAATCCTTTGCATGGACACACTACTTTTCTTCCATAACCGACCTTCCTCTAGCTAGCTCCCAGCACGCTTTTAAGCTGGTGAAATATTAAAATGGATGTCGGTGGAAGACCCTGGCAGGAAGGAGTCAACACAAAAGGAAGTTTAGGTAAGGGAGGGCTCCAGCACATTCGCTAAGGGTAGAAGGAGAAGGCACTTATGACTCAATCTCTCATCTACACTGCGTGTAATTTTACAGAGTATACATGCATGTGTATTAGATAGAGTCCAGCTCCCCACCCCAGATGTGGGCTATCAGCTAGTGCTCCAACGGCATTTACCTACCAGAAGTCAGTTTACTTAGCTTCTTCCAAGAGTCTATAAACCTTTCGTTCACAAGAAATATCCCTGAACTCAGCTAACTTATGAGGAAAATGGAATGCTATTAAAAGATCAACTTTCTAAAAGTAAGGGAGGTTTTTATTTACAGATGGATAGTTAATGCCAGAATGGGAAAAGAGTTCTTAACCTTATCTGAAAGAGCACACTGACCAGGAAGTTAACAGAAAATAACAAATACACACGTAGCAACCCAAACTGAGAAGCTCTGTAAGGAAACCACTGTGCAAACGGGGCTGCTTGGCGTTTATATTGTCATTATGAAATCCCAGAGGTCAGGAATTTAGAAATGGCTAAATCATCTCTAAAACGATGAAAGCGCTTATTTTTTATTTCATTTTGCTGACATCGTTTACCCTCCAAAATAAAGAGTGATCATTTAAGGTACACTTGTAACAACATTTATGACCAAAGTAAAAACAGTTAACACCTAGGTTACTGATCTTGAAAAAAAACACAGCTGCACTGGATTTGCAGGCCTTCTAAAAATGGGAAAACAAGGCCTCTCAACATGCGCAAATATGATTTTGTCGGCACTAAGATGTGATAGCTGATCTGTATAAGAATCTGTGTAAGATACGGTGACTTACATAATAAAATTTTAAAAAAAGAACCTGTGTAAGAATAAAAGAATTAGCAGTAATACTGTGTATCAGAACACGAACGCGGGAAGAAACCAGCACAAAGGTATGGGAAAAACAAAAACGTGAACATGCCAGCAGGTGTGGTGAGGCGGGTGGATCTGGGGTGACCCCGGGAGGGTAGGAGGAGCAGTGGTGCAGCCCCAGCAGGGAGAGACTGAAGGAGGACTTAAAGGCTGACTGGGAGGATGGGAGAACTAAAGCAGAAGGGCGGGTGCGGTGGGGGGTGAGGGAGGCCGCTGGCCCGGAGGGTTGGGTCGGGCTAAGTGGAGGATCTGGGAAGAGACTGAGCGAAGGCTGGGGGCTGGACGGTGGAGAATGTGGGGGCCCGCTCCACACCTACCCACAGCTCACCTGTGCCAATCTGCGCCTTGAACCGATCCTGCAGCCGGGTGACCAGCGCGGACAGGATGTCCATGCCGAGAAGAACCACCTGCAAGGGGAAACACCAGGAACCCATTAGCCGCCGGTCTCGGGGCCCACGCTCTGGCCCGCCAGCTCCCAGGACGCCCCCCCATTCCTGGCTCAGACGCAGTCCGACAGCCCGGAGAGCGCATGCCGACTGGCAGAATAAACTGGTTGTCAAGGGGGCTGCTCTGGTACACAAAGAGCTGTTCACAGCTTAAATGGAAAACGGAAGGTGACATGAAAAGAAATAAAAAAACAGCCAGAGCGGGGCCACATCCAGGGCACCAGTGGACCAACGTGGAAGCCCGAGCCGCGGCCCTGCCCTCTGCCGGCCCCGCCCCGGCGAGTAGCGCGTATGCAAATTACTCGCAGCTGGTGCGTGGCCTTCTGGGTAAAACCAAGCAGCCTGTTCGCGACCTTCAGAAGCCTCAGAAAACAAGAAGTTCCTGATTTGCTTCGGCAGCTGTGCTCACCATAGGTATACTAGCTACCAGGCGGTTAGGCCGGGAGTTGAAAATTAGTCACCCTAACCTTACCCAGTATTGGTGCTTCCTGCTTGTAGCGCATGCACAGTTACCACCAGCCGTCCTTTTCTTGGGGTTGCGCTACTGTCCAATGAACGGCTAGTGAGGGCAGTACTGCTAACGCCTGAACAACACGCCCGCATCAACTAGAGCTTTGCTTTACCTTGGTGCAATTTTTGGAAAAAAGAAAAATCTCTTTTCCACGACTTACAAGTTTAATAGCAGCTTAATTGCGTTTACAGAACGAACTGTAATACCACGTTGTATCACCAGAGAGTGCTCGATGTCAACGCTAGCTCTAAACTCAGCATCAATACGCGGTGGGTGATTTTTCACGTCTTTCAGAACTTCCAACTGTGGTATTTTAAGTTCAATGATCCTAATTCTGTTTGGTCTCTCCAATTGCTCAGCAGGTTAACCTACTTAATACACTGTACTCTCCAAAATATATGTACGAAAGCAAGATTATAAAACCCGCTTTTGTGCTTCGGTACGTCATTAGCAAAAGCATTGAGACATGTTTAAAAAAGTATTAAACCACCTTAAAAATGACAGTGCTCCCTACAAACCTTTCTCAGTAGGAAGCAGTTCTGCTTTGTGCAACTTTACTAAAACATGGTTCAAAACTAAGTGGAGTAGCCCAGTATCTTACAGAACAAATTAATGAACAAGACTAAGGCAACCCTAAACTAATCATCCTAACATCAAGCGATGTCATTATGATTGCCTTCATCTATCTGCCACTGCGTTTTGCAGCTTGTAAATGCAAAGACTGCAGGCTTTTCTATTCAGCTTGGAATCCACTGCTTCAAAACTGCCCAATCAGGATATAAACTGTCCTTGCAAGGTACTGGCACCTTGAAGATATCAAAGGAAATAATTCTAAAAATTTTTTATAAAGAGAACATTGGTTGGTAAACAGTTTTTTAAAAAATATGTAATGGTATAAAACATTTAAAAATAGTGGCTTTATTTATCAGCTAAAGAGGATTTAGGTATCACACTCTGATTTCCTCCAGAAGAGTACAGTATGGAAGTAAAGGGGAATAATTTTACCTTGGAGAAACCTGACAAACATCACCTCAGCCAGACAATCAGGGTGAATATCAACAGTCACAATTCATGTTGACAGCATATATGCTTGCTGTGATGTGATTAAAATGACACTTTACATCTGTGATGTCCTCCTCAAAACCCATAAGCCCAATTTAATCATGAGTAAAAACATCAACTTCCCATAGACGGACATCCTACAAAGTCCCTGACCAGTACGGTCAAGGTCATCTAAAACACGGAAGTCCAAGAAACTGTCATAACCCAGAGGTGCGCAGAGACACATAATGACTAAATGTAACGTGGTATCCTGGATGGGATCCTGACAGATAAAAGCCGGTAGGAAAAAAGTGAGGAAATCTGAATAAACTATGTCAAGACTTGAGCTAATAATGATGCATCAATATTGGTTTATTAATTGTAACAACATACTAATGTTAGATGTTAATAGAGAGACTGGGTGTGGTATACATGGAGACTCTCTATACCACCCTCATAATTTTTCTGTAAATCCAAAACTGTCCTAAACATTAAAGCTTGTATTTTAAGAAGAGCAGCCCATCAGTTAATTGGAACTGGCTTTTCCCTGATGAAATCCTAAGCATGAGTATGGTTGCATCACAGGTTGGAGGTGGAAATGTTATTCATTACAGAAATACTAAGAATCCTGCCTTCAAGTTCTCACCACATCCCTTCATAACTCATTCAAGACTAAGGTTTTGTTTGTTTGTTTGTTTTTTTAAAAGATTTTATTTATTTGAGGGAGAGAGAATGAGAGACAGTGAGCACATGAGAGGGGGGAGGGTCAGAGGGTGAAGCGGGCTCCCTGCTTGATGCGGGACCCGATCTAGGGATTCCAGGATCATGACCTGAGCCGAAGGCAGTCGCTTAACCAACTGAGCCACCCAGGCGCCCAAGACTAAGGTTTAAGAGGACAATTACACCTTCATTTTGAACGAATTCAAAATTCTATCTGATATAGCAGCCCTTGTTGGTGAAGCTACCTGTGGAATTTGAGGGAACATCAACTTTCATCTTTTCCAGGATGGAAGTTTACTTGGTAGTTTTGACCAGTTCAGGCCTAGCTCAATCCTAAAGAGTAAATTTCAAAATGTTGTGCCCAGACAGACTGGGGAGTCCAGAGACTCCCCAAAAAGCCTAAGTTGGCAGATGCAGCGAAGGCCCAGTGAAATAGGACAGGAGAGGACAGAACACAGTCCCAGGCACCTTCACAGCAGAATAAACAACTACTTTGCACGGAAGCAGAGGGGTTCATTTATAGTTGTCTAGTTCACCCTGAGTCACAGCCCCAGTGGGCCAGGAAGGCAATCATCACCCACAAATGTTTATCTTCACAGCTCAGGCCCTGCTCCTATGTTTCCATTTCCCTACTGAAGAAGGGGATACATGAATAAAGTCATTGCCCAGAAGACCACAATTACTGGCTATGAAGCTTCTATGTGCCTCAATTTCTTCCCTGTAAAATGGGGATGACAGCAACAGCTGTCTCACAGGTCGCTGTATGTGAAGTGTGTGATATAGTGCTTGGTGCCCATGGTGAGGGCTACTGCCAGCTCAATGTCACTGCCATGGACAATACGTACCGATCGGTGCTCTGGCAGAGGCCTAGGATTCCTGACAAGGGACTGCGCTGGCAGAGAAGGCTTCCCAGAAAGAGTCACACTACATGAGGCTAAGTTTGGAAAAACCAGCCTTGCACCAAAGGAAGAGATGGCCTCTAAGCAGAGGGAAGTGTGCATGCAAAGATGTGAGACAGCTACCACGATGGGGAGAGCTGGAGGGGAGGGCAGGGCTGGGAAGTCGCAGGGGAGGTAGCTCCCGAAGGGCCACAGACATGTCTGCAGGACAATGGGGCAGCCACTGAATTCATTTGAAACGGATGAGTTCTCAAGGTCCAACACAATTCCTTTATCCTGCAACTTTAAAAACATGCTTTCAAAAGGAATTAGTAATTGCTAAGTAACTCAAAGTAACCCTTGTGCTGAAAACAACTAAAAAATGCTAAATTATAAAAGAACTGCTTGGAAATATCAGAGAAAAAGGAAAGCAAAGAAAAGTTACCACGTCATAAAACATAAGTAAACTAAAATCCAGAGGGATAAGCATGCCACAAATGGTCCACTTTTGCCCTCGGACCATTTAAACACTGAGAAGGGACAACCAAGACACTGAGAATTGCTTTCAATGACCACATGGGTCTAGGAGAACAGAGGTTGGATTCCAGAGCCCTCAAAGGTTGGTTAGCCTGGAGAGCCCCCTACAATTCACGTTAGAAATCCAAATGGCTATACCTTAGAAGAGTAAATTGAAAGTAAAATAGTCTTCAGATGGACCACAGACCAACTTCCAAGAATCTGGGTAGCCTAAAAAAATATCAATCCCTGACATCAGATGGAAATGATATTAGCTTAGGTGGTGCCCTAAAGCCCTTGACAGATGAAAACCTACATCACTTCCAGATGGAGAGAACATCATCCTTCTAGTCCTCAATTTACTTCTGTGAACACTTTTCAAATACAATGTTCAAAACACAACCAAAGACAGCCAGGCACACCCAACAACTATAAATGAAAACTAGGAGAAACACAGACACACATGAACTAAGTATATGAAAATACTTAGAAACAGATATTAAAATAATAATTCTGGGGTGCCTCGCTGGTTCAGTCAGTAAAGCATGTCTCTTGATTTCGGGGTCATGAGGTTCAAGCCCCACTTTGGACACAGAGCTTACTTAATAATAATAATAATTCTTTGTGTAAGAAGATAAAATATATGATTAAAATTTGGGGGAGAGAAATTACAACTTTTAAAAAGTGACATCAATTTTTAAAAGCACCAAATAATTACCAAAATTCAGTACCCCATGGATGGGCTTGGTCTGCAGAAAAAAAAAACAGAATGAGGGGTGCCTGGGTGGCTCAGTTGTTAAGCGCCTGCCTTCAGCTCAGGTCATGATCCCAGCGTCCTGGGATCGAGCCCCGCATCGGGCTCCCTGCTCAGCAGGAAGCCTGCTTCTCCCTCTTTCACTCCCCCTGCTTGTGGTCCTCTCTCGCTGTGTCTCTCTCTGTCAAA